CCCTTTATTTCGACTGTTGGTTTTGAAATTATTAGTCACGTTCGTCTGGAACTTAGATGTAAGTTCCTAAAAGAATTTATGTAATTTTTTTAGCGGGAAATTGATTCGCCTACCAGCTAGGAGGCTGAAATTTTATGAGGATGTTCAATGCCAGTGTGTGTCCCGAATATATCAAATTGAAGTTTAAAACACGGCTAGGTCTCGCGTGTGTGCAAGTGATTGTTTAGTTTGGGACACTGTTGGCACCCAGTTAACTAGGTAAAAGACTGTGCAGGAAGCAGTATTTTTCTGAAGATGTTTATGGACCACCAGGCATAACACAAAATTCTGCTCTGACATGGGCTTTGCACACAGTCTATGTCTCATGCATGGGCTCGTAAAATTTTGGCAGAAAAATCACTAAGTTGGTGACCAGAAAACTAGAAAGCAAAATTTTTAGGAGGATACTGCGTGTTCAAATGCAGCACAGAAAAGTTTAAGTCCGGCTTCCACATGCAATTTTGTTTCACTTACGAACACATACACTTTGGCGGGAAGTTTCCCAACTCCGAAATCAGACAGAGCAGCAGGCCGTGTCCATGCCCAACTCCATAAATTCTAGATTCATTTTCTACGTATTTCTAGATCTTACGCATGTAAAAATGTAAGTTTTAGCCAAACAAAATATTCCAGTGATTTTGCACATACCAAGCAGCAAAGCAGTGAATGTTTCCGATAGCAAACGTTCTCGAGACAGTGCTGTGCAGAACCCATGATCGTACCGGCTCTCTTGGTGCACATCGCTACTTTTTCCAATTGGGAGGTTAGATTTGGGCCGGACAGTTGCTGGGTAGAAATTTTTGTATCGAAGAAGCAGTAAAGAATTTCCCTGATTAATGGTCAATACGTTTAATTTGGGGAAAAGAGACAGACAGTTGAGTCAGTAATAAACTTTCAGAACGGTGCATTCGTTTTTGGTCGGTTTTTAGCAGCTACTGCCTCCTGTTAAACTGTTTAGTTTTAGCAGCTGGATATCTCACCTGCTCGTGCAGTGTAATTCTGGGATAATCTCTTAGTTTAGGTGACAGTTGATTCTTGGGGATAATCTTTTTTTAAGATGCTGCAGTTTGTTTCTTCAGATGCCTTCTTTTCGCATCCGTTCATTGTGGCATCATCTTCGTCCTCTACATCTCCAGTAAAACAACGCGATCCTTTGTCGGCTTCACCACCGCAGTTACCTTCATCGCCGTGTCAGCGCACATCCATGCAACAGCTATCACCGACTGCTTCTCGACGTACTGTTAGCGGTTCGAAATTGGCATCAGCACAGTTTTCGACGACTTCCAGCAGTTCACGGTATGAAAATGATGCATCTCTATTTTTCATCTTACATTTCTGTAAAATAATCGAATGTGTGTAATGCTGTGCATGTGGAGCGCTTACGGTTGAAGTCAGTAGCATGGGGCTGGGTACTATACACAATATTTTGAGTGTAAATCGCTGGTGAATTAGTAGCCGTTCAAGGACTGATGTAGTAAAATAATCAGTTGAGATTCTTAGCATCCCCTCACTACCTGGCTTACTTGCATCAAGTGCATGGATGCATCCCAGTAATATTGCAAAGATGAGATTTTTGTGTCGTACGTCCATGTAGTCTTGGCGTTTTTGCTACTGGGATGAAATGGTAAACTACGGAAAACAAGGGCCTTTAATCGGCAAAAATAGACTATAGACTATCCATGCTATTTTTCTTCTGCTTAAAACAGTTTTGCAGTTTGTGACTTATTTTAGCTTGAAGCAAATGAAGTACATATATATAATGAATGTATATTATATGTAGTTTGGTGACTTGAATGTTATAATTGCTTTAGCGATTGTGTCACACTCAGTAATACATTAGATTTCCTATTTTAAGATTCTCTTTTTGCAGGCACAACACGTTCCCGTCTCTTGGCCAGCCAGCTGTGGTCTCCGATTCAGACGATTTCACATTCCTACCGTCCTTTCATGGTACTGCTCAATTCCCTCCGTTTGGAACTAATCCGACAAAGACACAGTCTCCTTTGCTAGCACGACGACCGCTTTCGGCGGCCAATCCCAATATTGATTCACATTCCTGTAATCCAATGAAACAAATTAAGGTAATTTTTTTTTTTTTTTGCCAAAATACGACAAATTGATCAGACTGCTGTACATGCACATGGTGTAGGTT